ACTCGCCGTAGAGAATCCTCCGTTTGTGCCATCCTCTCGTCGGGATCTAAGTTCCGGACGGCTCCGGGACCTTCCGATCCGACTAAACTGGAAAGAGGCCGGAGATCTGCCGGATTTTCACCGGAAGACAAAAGTCTCCGACCTTGTCGAAGAGATTTGAGTCCAGATTTCCACTTGTGTCCGATCTCCGTGTGGCCTTGAGCCACTGCCACGCTCGCCGCCATTCCAACTCTGTTCAGGTAACTCATCTTCAACCTCGAGTACTTCTTAAAACAAGTTATGGAAAAAAGAAAATCCTCTGTAATTGAGTCACTCAACTCGTTCACCGGTAATGCGTTGATTGAAATATCCAAGGAATTGCAGTGTATTTATAGAAGGAACCGGTTGGTTCGGTCCTTAAACCGGAAACAGGTATAGAAAACCGCCGGGTTTACTTCCGTTTGATTTAACAGCAATCAGAAACTAAGTTAACTAACTAAACGCATTCACCTCTGACACTAACGGAGATCATTTGCAGATATTAATATTTTAATCAAACCAACAGGTAGGGGTTACGTGTCACTTATCCATACAATGTCAGATGACTAATCCATTAGTAGCCAATCAGACAGCGCCAAGTTTTAAAATGGCAGGCCCCACTCATTACTTCTTTCCAATCCAATCCCCGAGGTAAATATTTTGTCGTGACGTGGTGGTTTAATTTTTACGAAAAGGACACAGAAGAGAGGGTACGTGTTGGATATAATTCAACTGGTGGCCTATTCATGCTGACTGTACCTGTACGGTTAGATTAATTTAAAGACGGAAAATTTCCCCATTCCTAAGGTAGCATGGAAGCTCCATACTACCATATTAAAAATAATGTGGGTCCCACCTAAAAGGACTATATGTTAAAATATTTGTAAAGTAATGGTAGTATGGAGTGGCTTGGTGCTACTATAGGACAAATTAACTTCTGAACAAAGGGAGGTCTGTCACGTGACGATGGATGGGCATCCCGTGCCCCCATGACACTTTTTTTTTTTTTTTTTTTCTCTTTTGTCTTATTTTTTTTGGTTCTTTCCATGTCTGTTCTAATTTGCTGATTTAAATCTTCATAATCTATACTTTTTGCTTTTTAAATTAACTTTTCTTATTTTATTAAGACAAACAAAACTTTCAAATAAGATGGCAGACAACAAAATGATTAAAGATGTATAATATTATATGTTTATAAACTATTTTTTATATATACACGATCTTGCCCATTATAAAGATTATTGTTTGTTGTTGTTACGTGATATTATTCATTTTGAACACAAATAGTCACTATTATAAATCGTCATTCCAACATGTTTTATCTTGACCCACGTACATTTAAAAAAAATTATAAAACAGAGTAAAATTGTAACAAAGGATTTGAATAATACGTAGGGAAGGGAAGAGAAATGGAAAATTTTGAGAGTTTTTAAAGAAATGTGTTTTTTTTAATGAAGAATATTTGGATTTGTTGATTGGCCGATGGAATTTCGGAAAATCCGAAACCCCATGCCTGTGGTTTTGCTGGGTGTATTCAAATTATGACTTATTTGCCCTTGCTGGTCCCCGTACCAAGCCGGCCTTTAGTGGGCGAAAAAAGACATTTTGGCTCTTGGTGTCTTCGGATGAGAATGTGATTCTGAATTCGGCTAAATTTACTTTTTGTTAATTTCTTTTTTTTTTTTCTTTTTAAAAAATTGTCATTGTCCACGACCTAATTTTAAACTTTAATTAATTTATAGAAGAAAAAAAAATGAAAAAGTTAGATGGAAAGGGATCAAACAAAACTTCAGTGGTCACGTCAATCAATTAGTGGAGCCCAGCCATAATAATAATAATAAATAAATAAATATTTATTATATAACTATTTGATTTATCATTGATATCCTCCATTTGATTTGGAGTTCTTATAATTGAGTTATTAATATATATACAAACTTTTAATTTTTAAAATTTTTTAATAATCCTATTTTCACGATTGTTCTCATTTATATATAATTTTAATTTATTTTATGTATTTCTTAATTATTCGGGTGTTCTATTGAAATATATTCCGTTTATGCGTATATAAAAATGTGGATAATAATAAGACATTATGTTGTCTTTAAGGAAAAAAAAAAAGGACATTATGGTAAGGGAGATGGAAATGGAATTGGATGGATCTACAACGGTGCATCTCAATTTCCAACCCATACTCAATTTTTATAAAAAAAAGAAACAAAATTGTTTTATTTTGTATGAGGGTATTAAATTAATTATGAGATGTTTTGGGGTTTCCATTAAATTAAATTGGAAGGGATGGTTGTTATTTGATTTATCCGCCGTGACAGCAGCTGAAGAAGAAAGCTTGTTGGGCTGAGAGAGATCCCTTCCGGCAGAATTCCACCGCCACAAATGGCCGTGGTCTTTTAATGCCTCCACCGCCGCCGCCGTCGTCCAACGTTTTCCGGCACACGTTTTTCTTGTTTCATAACTGTTTTTGATGAAATTAAGGTAAAGGAAAGGTAAGATGGGTTTTTGTTCCTTGGCCTACAGAATAACCAAAACCTCAGGCTAGTCATTGAAATACTAAGGTCTAAAATGACGGCGGGTTTCGCAGTTTACCGTAGTGAGTACAGCGGGGAAGGGGATGATAAAAATTGACCGTATTGCCCTTGCTGTGATGGGCAGGTTAGGTGAATGGTGAGGGTAAAATTGAGAAATATGGGTATATTTCTCCAAACATAGTTCACTTGGTTTTTGCTTTTCTCAAATTAATTAACTAATCGAGTTTTAATTTAATTAGTGAAACAGACTTTTGGTTTTAATTATTAATTTAGACTTTGTACCTTAAAATTAAATATTGTGTTCTCGAATTTTCCAACCACAATTTTTAATTTTGTCCAAAATTTATCTTAAATGTAATACAACCAATTAATTTAATAGTTAATTTATGTAAAATATTTTATTACCAGCCAAAACAATAAAACATTTATTAATTTAATTTAATTTAGGCGCAGTTGGAAATGAGACGTTATAAAATTAGATAAATTGGATGTGGGGTTATGATTTTCTTAGTTTGAAATTAACCCAAAAAGAAAAAAAACCTGTAGGTTGAAAAGTCGTAAATACCCTCAGATTAATAAACCAATTCCTATCCTGGAATTAAAACAAGATTTATCACATATAATTTAATTTATTAAGATCTAAATCTAAAAAAAAAAGACATAAATATATGTGAAAATAGCTCTTCCATTGATTTGGAGTGAATATATACAATACATGTACAAATTAACGCCATGACCTCTCTGGTTTAGTTATTGGGCCCCCAACAGCTCAAGTACATGACAGTCCTCAAAGACTCCTCCGACTGCTTCCATTTCTGATCGGAAACCGCCGCAGTCGACGTAGAAGAAAGCTTCTTCGCCTGAGAAACCGATCTAACGTGGTTTTTGGCGTACTGCTGAACCGATTTAATCGTATGATTCCACCGGCAAACCCCTTGATCTTTTAAGGCCTCCACCACCCCAACACTGGCCGCTACGACCCAAGCTCTTCTCGACGAACTCATTTTAGCTCTTATGAAATCTCTGTTTTGAGTGTTTCTTTTGCTTCTTGTGAATCTACAACGCTGCAAACAACTTGGGGATGGTGGTTATATATATAGGCAGAGATTAGATTGTACCGGGAAAAAAAGCCCCTAGTTTTCTGTGTTTCCAATGGTCGAAAGTGGACATAAATGCCCTCGGGGAGCCACGTGTCGGGTAAGAGAGAGGAGGGGTAGAGTTGGGTTTTTGGGTATGCCACGAATTAGTGTAGCCGCCAGCCGGCACCTGGTTTTGAACTTGTAGACATTTGGAATCCATGAGTATAGGAGACTAAACCGCTGCCAGAAACAATTTGACATTAAAAATTAATTAAATAAATAAAAGGTATTTAATTACTTTTATTCGCTTTTAAATGGATTAATAAAGTAATTTTGGTAATTTTTTTGTATTTATTTCTTTTTTAATTAATTTTATTACGTGACGAATTAACAAAGGAAGATCAATATGAACAAATAACATATTCGCAATTAAATTTTATTTTCTCACCATCCATTGTATCTGGATATATTTTACAATTACTTTATCCCAAATTATTTATTTGTTTTTATTTTATTTTCACACCTACAGAATACCGCTAAACTTTGTATGAATCGTGTTCATGCTAACGGAGATTTAATTATGACTCATATATTTAAAAATTAATTTTTAGGCTTTTAATTTAAACGGATAATTCATGATTAACAGAACTAACATCGATATTAATATCATATTCAAGTTACCCAATTGGGAAGGACCTCAATTCAATACACACGGCTATAATACAAATCCCCACGGCGGTTCAAGGAGGAATTAGTGATCTCGCCCGAGAGCCTCTCCGGCGGCGGGGTTCAGTTCAAATGCATGGCAGTTCTGATTCTGAAAGATTCTTCCGGTTGCTTCTGCGGTGCTTGCCGGAAACCACGGCGGCCGATGAACTGGTTATTCTCGTGGCCTGAGTCACCGGTCAGACAGGGTTTCTGTCGTAATGATGCGCCGATATGGAGTAATGCGGCTGGTTATTTTGTATTTCGAAACTGCCCCTGGTTTTTTGTTACGGTGGTCGGGCTGGATTTGTATGTTTTTTCCCCTGGACGCGATTACCCCTTGAAACCGGATTCTTTTAGCGGAGTGGAAGGGTAGAGTGGGGTTTTGGTAGCTTCCAAGGACAGGTTTGTTTGCACGACGTGAACGTGGAATTCTAAGGCCGAAACCGCCTTTCTGAACCGGAGGAGTTGGACTTCTCGAGTGACAAAATTGTGCCGCTCTCGGTGAAACAGGATAAGTATACATGAGGGTAATTACGTCAATTCACACCTTTTTAAAATTCCTTGATTTAAAATCTATAAATTATTAAAAGCTCAATATTTTCTAAAGCCATATACATATATATTGTCTTTCACACTTTAATTTTGGATATATATTTTTCTAATTAATCTCTATTATTTTTAAATTTGAAATTACAATTCTTCAAAGAATCAGACACCCAAAGCCTCCCATTAATTACAATTACAAACTGATGGAGGGAGGAGGAAAAAGGCAAAAAATGAATCATATACTATTAGCTCGACTGATCCAACACCGGCCGGCGATGTCTTTTCGGAATTCACTTCGCTCGAACCGCCCCTGGTCCAACCGCAATCTCAATGCGAATCTGGGCGGTTCAGTTATTAGGACCCCAACAGCTAAGGTACATGACCGTTCTCAGAGATTCCTCGGACTGATGCAGCTGCTTGCCGGGAGCGGGAGCCACGGCGGAGGAAAACTTCTTGGCCTGAGAAATAGACCCAACATGGCTTTTGGCGTAGTGGTGGGCGGATCTTATGAGATGGTTCCACCGGCAGATTCCTTGATCCTTGAGGGCCTCCACAACGCCGACGCTGGCCGCCACAATCAACGCTCTTGTTGAAGAACTCATATTTTTTCTCTTAAGTCTCTGAATTTTTTGATTTCTGAGTTTCGATTTTTGCTGGTTTATATACAGAAAGACCGCCGCAGCTGTGGAATAGGAGCCCCTGGTTTTGCTTGCTTGTTTTATTCCAGTGGTGTATGGGACTGGACGGGACGGGACCCACGCTTTTTGTTCGAAGTGGACTTAGTTGCCCCTTGAAATTGCGTTTTGGGTTTAGAAGTGGAGGGGTAGAATTGGGTTTTGAAGCAAGATTCCAAAACGAGCTACATATCCAGTTAAGTTGGAATATAGCCTCGGTATTTCTTCCCCTGTATCATGGAAAAACAGCGGAATTAAAATAAAGGATTATTGCTGTCATTTCTCAAAATTCCATGTTTTTTTTTGTTAAATTATATTTTTGGTTACCCAATCAACTTTATAGTTTTAAAATGCGCGTAAGAGATTTTTGGACCTTATTACGTTACCATTTTCAACCGATATGGGATCTCACAATCTATTTTTGGAGGGTCAACATCCTCGTTGGCACACCACTCGTGGTTGGCTCTGATACCATTGTAATAGTCCAAACTCAGATACTTTCTATTATAACTCGTTACGTATTGTCGTCAGCCTCACAGTTTTAAAACGCGTCTACTAAGGGGAGGTTTTCACATCGAGATAAAATATGTTTTCTTTCTCTTTCTAACTAACATAGGATCTCACATTTTTATTCGTATTTCCATAAATATAGAACAAACCAGTGTTCAATAAAACACATCATAGATCAATTTGATTTTCTTATTAATCAACGTGAATTAGGGTTTTAGAGCTTTTCACGGTGATATATATACCTTCAGTTTGGTTCAACTTTCTCGAATTTTAAACTATATCTAGTTACACGCAAAAACAGAACCAAACTTCTCAGTTCTATCTACTTTTTTTTTTTTTAAATTTAACCTTCTTAAAGTACTTCATGAATAGAGTTTTGACATGATTTTTAACGTTGATAATTGAATTTTGTATAATTTCTTAGTGTTCTAGATTTAAATTCTTTGATAGGCTAGATTAATATATATATAGAAACATGCTATTTTACTGTCAAAACAAGACAAACACACATGATTTGAGTAGCAAAATATAAGTTCATTACAAATGTAAGAGGTCTACTTTAAAATTAATGACTACAAAAACTTTGCCACTCAAAATCACTTGTTAGGCATACCCATCATTCACCGTCAATCTCTCATACCAAATTTACAGCAACAGGCTTCCTTTTATCTCACCCCTGATGGCTACTTTATAGTAATGAGACTGTCACAATATGATTGTTTCGAGTAATTTCAAGGAAGAAATGAATTGTTCGGAAGAGACAAATAATGTCATGAATTAGGGCCCCAACAACTCAAATACATGATGGTTCGAAGCGACTCTTCAGCCTTTCTTAATCTGTCCCTCTCACTGCTGTGTTTGGCTCCAGAGCCCGAGTCCGAGCCCGAGCCATCGTGGGAAGATCTGATGGTCTGCTTTGAAGAAGCAGAAGAAGAAAACTTAGCAGAGGAAGAAGTAGAATGATCCGAGCTATAGTTTGTGTATCGTTTCTCGCCAGCTTCTGCAGCCATCATGAAAAAATATCACAAAACTGGTTGGATTATGATGAACTAAACAACTTGAGCTCCTATTTTATAGACCCAAAAAAGCTTTTTAAAGTAAAAGCATCTTCCACGTGTCACTTGTTAACATATTCACTTCTTTAATTTCAAATAAAATTTATTTTTAATATAATAAACCAACTCAAAAAAAAAAAAAAAAAAAAAAAAAAAAAAAAAAAAAAAAAAAAAAAAAAAAAAAAAAAAAAAAAAA